ACCCCCTTTGCCGGGAGGGGGGCCCCCTTTTTTGGGCTTCCCGAAATCCCCCCGGGCTTTTCCCCTTTGGTAATGGGAGACCCTGTCCCGGGAAAACCCGGGGGTTTCCCCCCCCGTTTTTTTGGGGGGGGGGGTCAAAGGTTTTAAGGATTCCGCCTCCCCGGCTTTGGGTTCCCCCCCCCCCCCCCCCCCCCCTCCCGCTCCGACTGTCCCACTATCCTTGTCTGGCCCTGGGTCTTGCAGGGTGTGCAGCTGGACAATGACAACGCGCAACTTAAGTCACTCCTTCAAACATGTGTCGAGAAGGGCCGGGCAACTCTTCACGGGCCCAAGTCATGACAAATATGGCAAAAACCTCTTGAATTTTCCCCTACCTTAGTGGTGTCTTGAGGGCAGAAGGTGGCACCAAAACGGTTGGTCCTGCTTTTCGCGGTGGACGGTAAATCTGCTTGATTGCTTTATGTTGAAGGGGCTTGGAGTAGCACACCAGTCGGACCCTCGAGCACGATTGGCGTCCACGTGTGTCTGTGCGTGTGAGATGTATGAGCGCTCGCGTGTGTTGTAATGGCCGTGTGGGTCCCCCGTCTTTGCATCCCGTCCTTGTTGGTGACGATCATTTGTAGCGTTACTGGTGATTGCGCGACACAAGCAAGCGCACAACACCAGTATTTTCCATTTTTCCCTCGCCTTACATTAGCACATCGGAAGCACGAGTTTTTTGTATCTTGATCTCCGTACTTTTTCGTCCTATCATGGTAATTTTTGGACACGAGCATTCTTTGGCGACGTCGTACAACAGTTGGATGGCATACCTGGCATTGTGTAGCTGTAGAGTAGGTTTGACCACCCCCCCCGTGGTCCGGTGAAAACCTGGCGTGCTCCACCCCGGCTTTGTAGGGATGCGAGGTCAATGGTCTAACGACCACGGCATGCACGGCTATGAGTACACCCCCCCCGCCGCCGCCGCCGCCGCTGCTCCCTCCTTGTTGTCCCTTGTTTGTCCTTGCTCCTGATGTGGTGTAGAAACGTGTGTTTTTCTATCAAAGAATGCGCGGAACGCGCGCTCTGTAAGCCATGCCTTGCTTTTCACTACGGACCATACTTCCAAGCAAGACTATTGGCTACACGGCAGCCACTGACGGATTGCTCGTAGCCCTCCCTCACGGAACCCTGTTGGAAGTACGTATGTGTGCGAAAGAGGGATATGTCTCGATAGACGCCAACGTGAACAGAGGGATCGTCCTCGACAGACGTTGTGAGGGAGATGCAACCCCCTCCACATGTCTCACTATATCGTCTACAAGTTGTAGGCAATTTCAGCAGCGGTTAGTTCCCGTGTCGGTCCTGTCGGGCCACTCACTGCTGTGACGAAACACGAACGCACCACCTTTTTTACAACAAATCGAGGCTCAGACATTTTGAAAGAGAAAAGAAAGACGATGGAAAGAAACTGGGCTCAGCTGCCGGTACATCACACTGAAACTTACATGTATACGATGATAGCTCGGCAGCATAGCTTGCGCACAACACTTGAAACACGTACTGGAGCAAACAACCGCGGGCCGGCACTCACTACTATTTTGTACACAAAAAGCGTGATGACTGGATGTGAATGTTTCGTTCACCAATTTTTGTGACATTTTATTAGTCTTTCTTCCCTCTTGGCAAAGGAGGTGCCTGAAGGCAATGTCCATTATTTGACCAAACTGCTCATCACATAGCTAGCCTCGGGTGCGAAGACACATGACGACCTACCGCGTCGAGAACAAGCCAAGCAACGTGCATGCTATTATACGCACACACAATGCAGAAAAACGGCGGGAAAACCAAGAAAAAAACAACCGAAAAATTGACGAAAAACAAATGCGGAAAAACGGGGTTGTATGTGCTTCCCCCCACCCCTCACGTGAAATAACGCCTTTTCAATGCCCCTAGCACATGCGCATGCTTTGTTTTTCAGTCCGTACCACGTTACCTTCCCTATACCTAGAATCATGATGAAGACTTGCGCTTTCCTCGCCGTGGCGGCGGGTGTGGCAACCGGAAGCCCATGGGCTGGGCAGGCGTCGAAGAGCGCGGCTTTTGTGGGCGCTCCTGTGGGACGATCAGCCCCGTGGGGTTTGGGAACGCGGTGGGCGAGCAGCACGCCGACCTCGACCAAGGCGCGACCGGGCACCATGTCGCGATCCGCGCGCGCTCGCCTTGAAGCCTTGAGCATGAAGCTGGGCGAGGACGAGAAGGTGCGCTCCCGGCGAACGAGTGTGCGGTTGTTGTGTTGCGGCGATCTCGCTCATGTGCCGTCTCTCGTGTGGTCTGTCTCCCGATATATATATGAAAATCCCCTGGTCCCCAAAGGCAAATACGTAAGCGCGTGGTGCCTTCATAAAACACACATCATCAGCACACACAACAACAAAAAGTTTTCATGATTCAACAACCTCTGTTTCGAGGCCAACACCCGCACGAATGTGTACAACGTTGGCTCTCCTGCTATAGTACGCTACACGTCTGGTTGTTCATGTAGCAGCCCGGAAGAAGAGGTCCGCAAGGGATCCAGGCTGGGGTCCAGTAAGTGTAAATACCACGCGTGGGCAAGATGTGTTCTACCCAACCTCAGCGGACATGAAAACAGCACACAGCAGTGCGAGAGAGAGAGACCACAGGAGGGGAAATGGCGTACGTTTATCAACTCGGTGATGAAAGAAAAACCGCGGGCGAGCGGGTGGGTGCGCTGACATGGCGGTATCCCATGGTGGTTCACGAAGGCTCACGAAGGCCCCGTGGTCTTCTTCTTTAACCCTACTTGTATGCACCCGCGGCAGCAGCACGCAGCGTAAGGCAGCAGGCTGCTTGTTGACTTGTTGACTTGTTGACTTTGCACTTTCGAAAGACAGCGCACACGCACACGAAAGATTCTCCCCAAGAGGATGGCCGAGAGGGAACGGGGTGGAAACTCTGATGAAACGAAGTACACGTTTTGTTGATGCGGCCTGTCGGTGGAAACGTTTTTGTATGGCTCCGATGACGAAGGGTATAGATGATTGGCATGTACATACATGTGTGTAGCGCCATTTATCACCAGCTGTTTATCACGTCTCTACTGGAGTGAGTCCACTCCACACGTAACATGAACCAGCAGGGGTAGGGGGAAATTCTACAAGTGGTAGATTGAAATGGGTATCTTGTGTTGTGTCCCAAAGTGTGGTACGCCTGTGTGGTAAACTTTGCGTCCGCCGCTGTTTGTCCTGCCCGGGTCAGCGTCCAAACCGGCGTACCCGTAATGTACATAGTATGACCAGCGTAAAAACCCAACATGTTTCGTTTGGTTTTGTCGACATGACACATGACGTGGATTCCGCCAACCCATCATTTTTTGTGCAACAACCAATCATCGCCAAGGCCTTCGCAGCAGCAGCTGAGTTGGGATATCATGAGCAATTCCTCCAGTCATGCGCGCACACCGTTTGTAGAAGCTATACGCGAGTAGAGCGCCTACGCGAGATACGCAGGCCATGTTCGAGGAGGCAGCCCCCCCCTCCCTCTCTCCCTTTTAAGCGCCCGACGGCTTGGTTCTGTGATTCTCCACGAACATGAAAAGCGCCCTCGGCGACTATGACACTCGGCGAACGTGTCTCTCAGAACTTTCGGCGCAAGTAAAACAGTTTATAGGCGACCACCACAACACCCAATCCAGCACATGCCGATTTTGGTGTCGACAGATTTCCCAACCCCTGTTCCCGCTCGCTCTCTCGGAGTGTACTCTAAAAGCATACCACGTTGTACCGCAATGCCGTACGCCGGGGAGTGCTGTTCGCTCGGACGATCGTTCCTCTGTTTGCGTGCATCGCGAAGCTGAACGTTTTCTTGGGCAATGCACGGCACCCAACACGAGATTTATATTGGGTCCTATCCATGTTACATTCGGCGTCTTGTGGACCGTCCGGAGCCATTTTGTACGTCCTGTGCCCCCATCCAGTGGACTGCTTGAAACGCCAGAGACTTCCGCCATACTGGTTGTCTTGCTTGCAGCGTTAGTGAGGAAAGTACCCCCGTCGAGCACCTGGCCACAAAGCACCACCGCGACATCCGTCCGGCAGCTAAATAGCAGAGAAAGGCTCCATGGTTTGATGTTGTCTCGTTCATGAACAACGTTGTTACCTCATATGCCATCACGAACACCTTCACCCACGGCATGTTAACGCTTGGTCTCCTCCGGTCGGCCGTCCCTGCTGTCTTGTTCCCACCCAACCCCTGACTCTTTGAACCCAACAACAAAGGTGGTGCTTATCGGTGTGGCCGCCGACTCTGGTTGCGGAAAGTCGACGTTCATGCGCCGGCTGACTTCCATCTTCGGGGGCGACACCGTGGGCCCCCTCGGGGGAGGCTTCGACAACGGTGGCTGGGAGACGAACTCCCTGGTTTCCGACCTCACCACCGTCCTGTGTCTGGACGACTACCACCTTAACGACCGCGGGGGGCGCAAGGTATGGTTTGACACCCGTTTCTAGTTGCTTTCAGGAAGATGTCCTGCTCAATGAGCGGTAGTTTGTTTCCTTTGGTGGCTTGTCAAAGAGTATTGTAGCAGGGGTCAGCGGTGTGTTTGGAAAGATGGACCCGCTGGAACTTGTCGGTATCATTTTGCACAAGCATGGTTTAACTCTGCTCGGAGATGGACTGATGACTGATGGGTCACATGGTTGAACTCGTGTTCCCGTCGACATCGAAGTTGAGAGAGGCTTTCAGGCCACTTTTTTTACCTCATTCGCCGACCGGGTTCTTGCACGCTTGTTTGCGTTGAAACGCGTGTTGAGTAAATCACAACTGCTGCTGTACTCCAGTGGTGTAGTCGTGTGTTATTATACTTACATTCTACGGGAGTACTACTCGGATAGATTTCTTACAAATTGTGTCGGAAGTTTTGACCCTCGGTGACTCGATGTCTACCCATATTGTTGTTAGGGTGCCGTGTTCTATACGGAGCAAACGAGCCGTAGAGTTTGGCTGGGGAGGAAAGTGCTTGTCCTTTCGGGTGTGGTACAGGAGCAGTAGCAGGTGTGCAGTAGCAGGTGTGCAGTAGCAGGTGTGCACCCGACATTTCATGCCTTGTGAGGATTTGGTGTGGAATTGGCGAGGTCTGTGTCTACTTCACGGCAAGCAGAGGAGGTTGTCGGTGTTGCGTCGGTGGTGGGAGAAGTCAGCATGTTCTCCACAAATCCGTGTAGCGTGTCTGTACGTTGACGCTGGGCCCGCGGGCGTGTCCTTAATTACCTGGCAGATGAAGCTTTTTTTCAGGGGACGTTTCAGGTTCCCCCGGCAGACACTCGCGTGTGCCTTTATATTTTCTCACCCGCGGCGCTCGCTCACGTACGTGTGTGTCGGCTCTTCTGTCGCGTTTATGCCGAACAGGTGTCGGGCAGGACCGCTCTCCACACCGAGGAGCAGAAGTTCGACCTCATGTACGAGCAGCTCAACGACCTCAAGAACGGCAAGAGCGTCATGAAGCCCATCTACAACCACGTGAACGGGACCCTGGACACCCCGGAGGAGATCAAGCCCACCCCCATCGTGATCATCGAGGGCCTCCACCCCTTCGTCGACAAGCGCGTGCGCGACCTGCTCGACTTCACCATCTACCTGGACATCTCCGACGAGATCAAGTTCGCGTGGAAGATCCAGCGTGACATGATGGAGCGCGGACACTCCCTGGAGTCCATCCAGGCTTCCATCGAGGTGCGTGTCACTGCTGTGGTCCAATTGGACGGGGGGATCGGGGCATCGGAACATCGATGTGTCTGAATGAACGATATTTAGGACATGTCCCGCGCTGTTGCGGCCATTTTCAGTAAGCTGGTTCTTGTTTTCCTCTCTCTCCCTGTCGGGCCTAGCTTGATGGCGGCGATAACGTGATTTGATGTGATGTCGTGGTGCCCTCATGGCGACTGGAGCACACACGTCGTCATTCCTGTCTTGTGCCTCGCCGGCGGGTTGATGCTGGCGAAGAGCCAATGCCCTGCAGGCGTTTACCAAGCGCAAACATAACCGCGCTGTACATATTGAAGCCAGTGTTTGGTTACTCCAATGCTTTCCTCGTTCCAAACGACTGGCGCCACATTCATATACTTCGTGGCGGAGTTTTTTTTTCAACGTTTCGACAGACATGAGTGTGAACCATTTCAGTACATACATGACGGCGCTAACCCCGTTCCCCTCACCGGCTCGTTTTTTTCGTGCTGCTGCCGGGTCGAACGAAAATTTGGACAGGCCCGTAAGCCCGACTTCGACGCCTTCATCGCCCCCCAGCGGAGCGAGGCCGACGTAGTGATCCAGGTGCTGCCTACCCAGCTCATCCCCGGAGACACCGAGGGCAAGATCCTCCGCACTCGCATGGTGCAGAAGGAGGGCCTCGACTTCTTCGACCCCGCCTTCCTGTTCGACGAGGGCTCCACCATCTCCTGGGTGCCCTGCGGCCGCAAGCTGACGTGCTCCTTCCCGGGCATCAAGTTCGCCTACGGCCCGGACACGTACTACGACAACGAAGTGTCGGTCATCGAGATGGACGGGCAGTTCGACAACCTTCAGGTGTGTTGGATACGCGCGTCGTCTCTTGTGTGTTGGTTGTTTTCTTTGCCGTCGCTTCAGCCAGTGTTGTCATTGCCGAGAGTCCGGCATCAATCCCCCAGCCACTTGATATATGTTCTGCCACTGCTTCGTATCCGTTGTTGTCTAGCGATAGATACTCCCTCGGCTGACGCAAAAGTTGTGCTGGACTTTTGTTGTGTCAATTCGATTGGGCACGCTTTCGAACTCGATGTATTGTTATCCCTGTGCAGCATCGTCTCTACGATTGGGTTGGGTGTTCGGGCTAACCCATCAGTCAGCGGCTGACTGACTAATCTAATGGATTTCCTATTTCTAACATTGGGTTGGGGTGTATTGATCTCGGTCTGTGTCATAGCTCCCGAGCTGGTGCTGACTAGACACGGCGCAGGGCTTGTTTTGAGCTTTGAGAGAAGTGACTTCACTCGTCTACAGCCTTGTCCTTGGAGACGGTTGTGTAGTAGTTGCCAACCATGTGCAGGTCGCTGGATGATGAGCGCGTCTTATTCTCTTTGGCCCATGCATCACCTCCCATTCTCGCAACAAGTTGGTACTACCGTCCTTGGTCCTGCTAATCTCGCCCGGCCCTCCTCCACGGCGACCTTCATGTACCTTCTCCCGGCCTTAGCCCGCATGTGTGGCACAGACTGACCCCTCATCCCCTGTATCCCCCTTGCCTTCTTCGAACAACCCCGTATGAAAAGGAACTCATCTACGTCGAGTCGCACCTGTCCAACATCGGCACCAAGTTCTACGGAGAGCTGACCCAGAACATCCTCAAGCAGGCAGACTCGCCCGGCTCCAACAACGGCACCGGCTTCTTGCAGACCCTGGTGGCTCTTAAGCTTAGGGAGGTGTACGAGAGGATCACCAAGAAGACGGTCAGCGTCAAGCTCCCCGAGAGCGTCGCTCAGTAACCGTTCTAGTCTTTCGTTGAAAACGTCAAGCCATCGTGAGTGTAGTGAGTCGAGTTGATTGCATAGTCCACTCAAGACTGGCGCGATGCAGGTTGTGCTGTTCGTAGGAAGGGGAAAACGAGCATCGGGGGGGGGGGGGGGATAGCCCCGTGGTTTGCGTTTACGTTATTGTTCCGCTCGATACCTACCCTTGTTTTGAGCTGTCGTGAATGTATTGGTTTCCTTCTTGGGCAGCAGAGAAGACGATGATTATTAAAGTCTCGGCATACCAAGCTTTTCCGCCGGGCTACCCTTGCTGAACTGCGTACGTTTTGGGCGAGTTCAAGCAAAAGAATGCTTCCAAGTCCCAACTCTCCTATAGAACAAAAGAAACCCGTGCGTTCTCGTTCTTGTTCTTAAGTTTGAGGGGTAGTTAACAAATACCTCGGCCCGCCACTAACGTGGAGTTGGGTGCGTCCTTTGTTTAGGGATGCCTGCATTGTACAAGGCATGGACGTTATAGACACAGCACGAAAATATAGTTTAGAAGAGGAAAACGGGGGACGGGGGCGGGGCAGCGAGAACTTCTTCCCCCCCTCACTCCCGTCAACCTCGTCGGGCACTCGTACACGGACTTGTGTGAAGTGATTTTCCCTGTGCCTTGTTTGGGTGACAGCAGTACCACTTTCGCGTTTCCCCTTCAGAGGGCGTTAAGTCTTCGTATTCTGGTGTTGAAACAGAGACCGAACGAGTTGTTTCTTTGCTGCCGCTCTCTCCATTTTTCGTTTAACATTTGTAGATGAAGAATTTGTTGGTTTTACAATCGGTCGGCACATCGGGAGAAGAGGCAAATGACGGTCTTGCATACTCTGGTACATGCCAGAAGGAAGTGAGATTGTCCTTTTCTTGTAGAATGAAAGGAGAGGGGCTGAGGGATGGCGAAAGACTGACGGGGAAAAGCGATCAGGTTCATGATACGAAACGTGAGACCTCGCCAAGTGCGGTACAGCTGGTTTCGTTGCCACCTGACCCTTCCTGGGGGCGTACATATTGGCATGCAAGACAATTGAAGGCTGCAGCTCGATATTCTCTCATACGTTGTATTGTAACCCTAGTCCGCTCACGTTTAGCGTGGACCTGAACCACGATGTCACTCCGCCATAAATGCAATGCGAAGTAACACCTCGTGGAAGCTGCGGTTTGACAGCTCGTCGATGCTCTGAGGGAAGACCAAAGCCAGCCTTCCCTATTATCGCCCATTATCAAAAAGCACACTGTGTTGCTCTGTACGCACCTGCAAAATGCATTCCAAACGTGGATGGCAGGTGCAGTTTTGCAAGCGTACGATTCATGCGTTCATTCGGACCGTAGCATGGGAAGAACCTTTCCTTGGAAGCGTTCCGAGAGCCATGGGAACTCGGGAGAACACCGATGGATACACGGGTGTTCGGGTGCCACCTGCTTGCTGACTGAGTAGGCGGACCATTTCTGGCACCGCCCTGCTCTTGTCTGGGTCCTTTTCTCGTCCAACTGCAAATATCAACGGGAGAAAATGTGTCCGCCCCCCAAAAGCTAACACGACCTTGGGACCCTGACGGTTCTGTCATGTCACCTAACGCCGATGTCATGATGGCGTCCACGACGAGATGCCGAAGATAGATGCATTTCAAAGCCGGACTTTGACGCAATATGTATGTGATCTTGCGTGTTGTGGTGGGAACCCGAATGAAGCTCTCGGCAGTTTCACAGACACCAGGGGTGATAACGTGGAACCCAAAGCTTTGACCCAGCAAAAAGATGTTAATGAGCGTATTAGTCTAAGTTCCCCCATATTGATTGACAAGAAAGAACGTCCCTGTCGTCCTGTCCCGGCCATTCCTCTCACGCTCACCCCGGTGCAACTTTCTGCGTCCCGTGTACAGTATGAGAGGCGCGTTTATGGTTTCACTACAATCAGTGCACCAACCCCTTTTTTCTGTACCGTCCCATTTCCATGTACAAGGCATCCACATTTTTCCCTTGTGACCATCCGTTATTCCTCTCTAAAAGGCTGTCGACAAAGCTAAAACACCCCCGAAGCCAAACACGTACATTGCTAACCGATTGTTGCACTAACTTATCATTCTTGACCGTACCAACATTCCCCACATCACGTCCCGAGGCTCATCGCCACATCTACGGCAGAAACGTTCAACGGTGCTGCTACATGAGACGTTATACACATGCCTTCGCTAGCTCGACACGCGGAATATATCGCACTTCTCGCAACTGCTGCTGTCGGGCTGAAAGAGACGAGTGGCGGGATTCGTGCGAGTCACTCCGATCCTGCTTGGGAATACTCGTCATCGGCCATCGCCTTCTCCGTGTTGTGGACCTTCGCGCTTTGGACACCTGCTCCTACCCTCGCCAGCTTGGCCCCCTTCTTTTGCTTCTCCGCCAATGCTTGAGCGTGATCCGCTTTGTTGGAGCCAGGATCGTCATCGCCATCTGAGATTTGGTCACAAAAAAATCACCCATCGCATCAATAAAAGGTCGTTGGGAGTTGGGGGGTACTACCGCATGTCGGGGTGGCGTTCACATATTGTTTGGGTGTTATGCGCCAACCTCGGGTAGCCCCGAGAGGCGGCAGAGCGACTACGGGACACTGCAAGCAGGAGACCTTGGCAGAAGAACAACAGCTGTGCCTGAAGCAGTTCGAACAGATGAGGCGGCTCGAGTGCGCCATCACACCAACTGCGAGTAAGTGAGATTTTTCCAGAGACTCCGTGTGCTGCCACACTTAGTTGGCGATGAAAAGCACGGTCACCGTGCTTGCACCATTCAGACAGAAGATGGAAACCGCTTGCAAATACAGCGGTCTTCTTACTCACAGGTGCTTCCGAAGAAACTGAGACGAGTCAACGCCGGCGTCGCCGTCTCAACGTGGCGCTTGATCGCCGTCGACTCCCGTGCTGCACCCGCGCCTTCCGCAAGGTCCGAGTCAAACATCGATCTATCGTGGTGGATGGGCGCCGCCGCAGCGGCGGGGGTGCCCGCCCCCACTCTCTCCGCGAGCGCCGCGATCTCCGCCTTCTTCTTCTCCGAGTTGTCCACGGAGCGCGGGTCCTTCCCGTAGTCGGACCCTGCGAAGACCAACCGCGTCGCTTCCGGCGTGTTGGCCGCAACGTGGCGCTTGATCGAGTCCGAACCCTGCATGGCCCCAGCGCCCTGCGTGAGATCGGAGTCAAACATGCTCCTAGAATCATGCACAGGTGCGGCATCAGCGGACGAGGCGCCCGCACCGTGTGCCCTCACCCGTAACTCGTCCACCTCGGCGGCCTCCTGCTCCGAAAGCGCAGCGGCCGCCTGGCCGTCCTTTCCGTAAACGCTCGCACGGAACGCTACTCGTGTAGCGTCCGGGGTGTCGCCCGAAACTTCGCGCTTGATCGAGTCAGACCCTTGCGTGCTCCCGGCGCCTTGCGTGAGATCGGAGTCGAACATGCTCCTGGAGTCGTGGACCGGAGCCGCGGCTGCAGCACCCCGGCCCTGGGCCCTCATCCGCAGCGCTTCCACCTCGGCTGCCTCTTGCTCAGAGAGCGCAGCGGCCGTTTGAGGGTCTTTCCCGTAAGCACTCGCGCGGAAGGCTACTCGTGTCGCATCCGGCGTATCCGTTTTAACGTCGCGTTTGATGGCATCGAACGCTTGCGTGCTCCCTGCGCCCTGCGTCAAGTCGGAATCGAACATGTTGCGTCTGTCGTGAAGCGGGGCCGCTGCTGCACCGGCAACACCGTCGCCCTTTGCCCTCGCCCGCAATGCTTCAACCTCTTCAGCCTCCTGCGCTGAAAGCGCAGCGGCGGCCTCGGGGTCTTTGCCGTAGGCGGTAGCGCCGAATGCCACTCGTGTGGCGTCCGGGGTGTCGGCCGCAACGTCGCGCTTGATACTCCCGGACTCTTTCCCGTCCTCAGCCTGCTGGGACAGCGAAGAGTCGAACATGTTTCTGTTGTCGTGAACGGGTGCGGCCGCTGCCCCCTCCCTTGCGGTGCCCGCCTCCGCCTCCCGCTTGAGTTGCGCGGCAGCGGCCGCCTCCTCCGCGGTTGGTTCTCCGCCAGAAGCCGGATCCTTGCCGTACACGCTGGAGGAAAACGCGAGTTTCGTCTTGGGCGGGGTTACGTCGTCACTGTCACTGCTGTCTCCGCCTGATGTGGCGGAGAGCCAAGCCCTCGTCCCCGCTGCTGCCGCGGGGAGGTTTTTGACCCCGGCGGCGCATGTTTTCTGGGACCGGGCATAAACAGCCACCCTGAAAATTCCTCTCCGCAGCATGGTTGTCCCGCGCGCACAGATCTAGAATACCTGTACCTGATACACCTTTTTCTTCTCTTCAGGAGCACGCCAACCGCGGACCAGACAGATTACAGCAGTAGTGCAGAGGCCGGGACGAGAGCAACCAGCGTCCAAGTTAGGTGCATGAAGAGCGTGTTGTCATTGGAGTACACAAGGAAGTGTGCGATCGCGTCAGTAATTGGACACAGCAGTAATTGCGCCATCAGATATGTCACGGCACACACAGCCGTCGTAGAGTGAGCAGTAGTGCCGAGCAAACAACGGGAAGCTGGATGTACGTCGCTGTGTACGTACTTTACACCGCGCCGACGACCCGACGACGGCCAAATCATAGAAATTTGAAGTTGTTACTCGTGTCACAACACCGAGAAAGAGATACCCCGTGCGTTGCGCAGCTAGAAAGGACACTTACCCTTCACTCATCTGAGTACTAAGCGTATTAGATGACCTCCGAACCCGCTCGGCTGGGACATCTCGGGCGCTTCACCTACTGCTGTACCTACGATACGCCGCTGTAGCGATGTTTGGTATTTTCATCGAGGCAACTTCCTCCTCGACCTTCACGCCGCAATTTGCACAAAAGTCCTGCGCGAGCAAGTGGAGCTCAGCTCCATGTTGACACGTGAAACACTCATCTCTCCTCGACCACACCCCTCACCTCTCACGTATATCAGCTGTTTGGCTACGCACGCCCGGCCTCTTCTGTGTGCAGCTCTGCACGCGGGTCTCTCCGTCTTGAATTGGGCGCATCCCACCCACATGGTTGCATATGCGGAGCCCCTCTGATCACGCCAAATTGATACATTGATCACACTTTCCCCCACCTTGCCTGCACCACTACCATAGAAGCGCAGGTTCCGGTGAGAGGAGGAAACGGAGCACCACCGTACCTACCACAAACAGGTGCATCATCTCCAGGATGGAGGGACGACAAAGCCTCCTCGGTGCCATCGACTACTGGGCCGAAACAACTCCCTCGAAAACCGCGCTCACGTTCTTGGATGATGCAGGGGCGGAGGTTGATGCCCTCACTTACTCCGCTGTCCTCCGGCGCTCCAATGCACTCGCATCGCACCTCCTGGACAAGCTGGGCCTTGTCAAGGGCTCTACTTGTCTCCTCGTTTATCCGCCGTGCCTCGACTTCACCGTGGCCTACCTCGCCTGCCTCCGCGCTGGAGTGATAGCCGTGCCGTGCTATCCGCCTGACCCGAGGCGCCTCAAGAAAGATCTCCACATGTTCAAGGCGATCCAGGGTTCGAGCGGAGCGACCGTGGCGCTGACGAACCGTAGCTACAACTACGCCAAGAAGGTGTGACATAGTAGCTTCCTAGGTGTCATTGCCGTGAACTCGTTTCTCATGGTATCGTTAGTGTGCTTTTGTGCGGTGATGTGTTGTCCAAGAGATGCATGTGTGGAAACATGTCAATAGGCCAACGATCAACGACCATTAATAAGCCGCCCGGACGCTGTGTGGTCAATGGCTGGCACAGACAAAACCCGCTCTTTTTCCTTTGGGATGTTACAACAACGTGTGTACACGCATTTTAGTTACACCCGCACTAACATAACAACGCCCTTCGCATGAGCGCAGGCTCCTTGTAGAGCTATCATTCGCTGTAGCACTTCTGTAGGTGTTGAAGTAAACGCTGCGGAGTTATATCGGTAGTCTATCAACCCGGTGATGCTGCTGTAGTCCATGTGTACGAGAGCCGTGCTTGGTCTGAAAGTCGTCTCGTGGAGTACAGTACAGCCGTACCTCTGGTGTAACGGAAGGGACAAATGTCTAGATGGTTCTCTCTATATTTGTGCTGCAGTACGGCGCCCTGAGAGTGGAGATCTGTATAATAATAGACACTTTCACGAGCAGCTGCCGACAATATGTATGGCACGTGTACGCGCGTACGCGTGTCCTTGCGTGTCCCTGTCTGTTCGACTGCGGTGTACCAGTACGATGGAGACGATGATGGTTGTGTCTTGTGTCCATCGCATGTGATGTGAGCATACGCCGCTTGGCTTTGGTTTTGCAGCTCCGCAGATATCCTCCGGCACTTCCACCGACTGCTGAGATGTCTCTGTTTCGCACTTGGTTCGGTGGGATTGGTCCATTCGAGTACGGTGCTGGCAGGTCGTCGTTCCCGCCGTTCCCATCAAACCTCTTACCGGAAGCCGGCTCAGTCTAGGCTGGCTGTTGTAGTGCCATGCCCCCCCCCACCCCTCTGTTTCTTCGCTGTCTGCTTGTCTGTGCGTGATTATTTAGCCGCCTCCGCTTGTAGTTGGACAAGATGTCTCATGTCTCGTTTGCTCTCCCGGGTTGCCCACACAACTGTATTCACCCTGCACCAACACTGCTCTTGGTCTCTGTTTTCACAGATGGCCGACATCAAAGGCATGTTCTCGGGTGGGGCTTCTTGGCCGGAGCTGAATTGGGTGGTGACGGACTCTCTAGCGTCGGCGACGGCCGCTGACGAGGACACGGGGAGATTCTCCATACCCGTTCCTACGGACGTGGCGTTCGTACAGTACACCTCGGGTAGGGACAAACGACCACATGAGTATACTAGGGAGTAGAGATGAAGAGAACGAGAAATGCAGAACTGATGCATATAAACATGTTGAGCAACGAAGGAATGGTATTAGAATATTTTAAATTTTAAATTTGCCTAAAAACCTGGCGCTCTACAGAGGGACAAAGAGTTACACTCACAGGAGGGACACTACCGTATCAGGTACACAAGGTCTTTCGAGAGACAGAGGGACCGAGCATAAACGGTCGAGAGTTGCGGAGACATGGGCGACCATGCAGAAGGGGGCGTTCGGTCTTGGAGAACGTCTCGCCCGTCTTGCAACCGAACCGGTGGCTCGCCATCAACTCCGCGGAAAGGAGAGGGTCACAGCGTGCTTCACCGTGCCACCCCCCATCCTGACGACTGCTCGGGCGCCTGTTTTGCTTTGTGCATGTCGCAAAAAGGTTCGACGAGCGAGCCTAAAGGCGTCATGATCACCCATTCCAACCTCGCGGACAACCTGAAGCTCATCCTTGCGGGTCTGAGCGCCGTGGATGACACCGTCGTTGTGGCGTGGCTCCCGCAGGCGAGAAACGAGCTTGCGACAGACAGCACTGCCGTCGGTGAAAACCCGTTCCCACACTTGCGGTTATATATTGTATCACGATCGGGCTTGTTTCTGGTGGCGTTTTAAGTTTGATACTACGTGATGCGGTGTTTTGATGACACAGTCACTGTGATACGCGCTAGTCTTCACGCTTGAGCCTTACCGAAAGAACATCCGCCGTGCACGTGTACCCGCTTGCGAGGCGTCGCTACTTCTAATTCCCCGTCTATTGTTGGCACCCCCAAACTGTTCCCTGGTCACTACTTCTGCTGTACGAGCCGCGCCACCCCACGCTTTACATCTCATCCTCCTACCTCTTCCTTGTGGGCCCACGATTTTGCTGCGTTCAGTATCACGACATGGGACTGATCGGGTCGGTTCTCGCCCTCCTGTTCTCTGGAGGGTCGGGGTTCTACATGTCTCCGGTGTCTTTCATCAAGCGTCCAGCTCTGTGGGTGGAGCTGATCTCTCGCCACCGGGGGACTCACATGCAGGTTGGCCTCGTTTTCTTGACCCTACTGACGGAAAAAATGGTGTCGTGAGCTTTAGAGATGTCTTTTTTTATGGTCTTGGCGAGACGGCCTGTTGCATGGTTGTACAGCATCTGGGAGTGTACCCAAATGCAATCCGAATCCGCTATATAGGTTGCCAGAGGTACCCCAATTGTACCGCCGGTTCCAGTCGCCCAGCGAAGATAAGAATTTAGCAACTATAGTATCCCATACATGGCAATTGCGTGACATGCGCTCACTACATGCGCTCACTACATGTGCCGCTCGCCCACGCACTCGCGTCGATCAGGACCTCCATGAGTTCATCTTGATTGAGTTCCTTCGAATGTTTTTCTGGCCTGTCTTATTTTTGCTCCGGGTTGGCACGCGTGTGTGATGTGTGCTCGGGGAAAACCAGGCACCGAACTTCGCCTACGGCCTGACGGCTCGCAAGTTTCTGGCGCTGGACCCGCAGCCGCAGCTAGACCTATCTTGCGTCCGGCACATGATCAACGCCGCGGAGCCCGTGGACACTGCTTCTATCGACCGGTTCTACTCTGTGTTCGAGGCTCACGGGCTCAAGAGGTAAGGGCCACCGCAATCGTCGATCGGTGTTGATCGGTAGGCTTGCTTCTCGCTAGGTTTGCGGTCTCGCGGCCAGGATGAGGTAGATTGTTGCAATTCCAACGGTTGTCAACGTCAACGGGCCGTTGGGCCGCTTCTATCGTGGTTGCTTCCAGAAGGGTAATTGCTGCGACACTAAAAAGCAATTTCCATGACAAGAACGGAGCGCGTGTGCACCGCTGGTGTCGTGCTCGAGCTCCGACAGAGGGGTGTTCCGTGTCGCTACCGGTCACAATACAATCTTGCCGTCGGGAAGCCAAGAACACGCTCTTTTTTTAGAAAGTATACATAGCCTCACAGAAAGACCACCCGTTCGAGATAATACCATATTCGAAGGGGATGTTGAAGTCTTTACATTGAGTGGTGTTGTGTCGCCTCGGCCTTGACACGTTGAGCATGAGTGTCCCCTTCGACATGTTTTCATTTTGTTGTTGTTGTTGCTGCTGCTGCTGCTGCTGCTGCTCCGACTGGTGCTGTTTCTTGTGTTGTTTTCCAGGGGTGTGATCTTCCCCACGTACGGCCTGGCCGAGCACACGGTGTACGTCTGCTCGAATGGCAAGGACAGGCTTGTGGTGGACAGGGTCATGCTCGAGACCGAACGAAAGGTATCTACCGCCGATGTGCCAAGATTTTTTGCTTCGTGATTACCTATACACTGGGGCGTGTTGTGGAGCTCTTTCTGCTCTTGTCTCTCCTCGAGCTGCCAACATGCCAGTAGCACCAACCCGCATTGGGGCGACTGATGGGGGGACATCGCGTGGGATCCATCCCAACACTCCCGGCGACCTGCATTAGTTCTTGGTGGGTTGGGTGTGGTTTCAAACCCTGGGCGACCCTCCCACTCTGGCCCGAACAGCTGCGCGTCTCACACTAGAGACGTTTCACCAGACGCTATGACAGTTCTACCTTTGGTGCTTTTTACGCTATGGTATGGTATTCACGACTCACTAGCCGTCACTGCAAATTCCATGCGTGTGTATCACAAGAGCTCGTTGAACGGCCAGGAATCGTGCTTTGGAAGGTTGAACCATGAGGTTGGGTGTTTTTTACTCCGTCATCTTCCTCCCGATTGCGATCTTACCCTCCCTCTGTTTTACGTGGCTATCGTTTGTGGCGTAGATTCGACCGGTGGAGAACAAGCTGGAGTTGTGGGCCTATGGTATGGATGGTGAGTAAAGTGTAGAGCGGCTTTCGCTCGATATCGAGATGGTACAACAGTATTTATTTCTTCACTTCACAGTGTATGTGTGAACGGCGTCCCTCCCTCCCTCTTCCCGCGCTCCCCCCTCGTGGTATCATTGTGTATGGTTAGTGCGTGGTTGTATGCCCTAGATCGAGGCACAGACAACTGCTCTCGACGTTGGTAGGGACACCCAAACAGGTACTCAAGACACTCCGCGAGGAGGTGCTGTATGAAGTATTTTGATCGAATGCGTTACATCACTCACTTGCAATTTTACGTGGGGGTTTTGTTCTGGAAAGGTGCGGGCACGGTCGGGGGGAAAGACGACGGAGTGCTGACGACGGTCGTCGTGGGCTGCGGCCGTCCGAAAGATTGCGCCGGGGTGGACCTCCGCATCGTCGACACCGAGGTGAACGGGTCGTTACCCTTGCCACAGTCAACAGTAGCGTATTGGTGTCAGCAGGTATTTAGCAGCAAAATGTTGGTTTGATGTTGTGTTTGGTGCGGATTTGTCTCCGCAAACATTGTTGCAGTAGCGACGTTTTACACACATGGGACAGATCATGAGCTACAAGCTCACCTTATGTCCTATAGATGAAAATGGAGCAAATATACACCTATCTATCACCTGTTTCCTACAGACCATCTCGGGCAAACAAACACGGAGCACCTGTGTCCTGCAGCATACCTCGGGCAAAAATACACCAATCACCTATCTCCGTCAGATCACCTCGGGCAAACGTATCACGGATCACGTATTCATTTGGACTTGCGCAAAATAGTAAGACACGCACCCAGGGGGACGCACACAAGAGATGCACCCATTCAGCGCGCCCGAGTCGACAAGCCAGTCGGTACCTATACAGGCTTGGGTGAAGAGCGTTTACCACGCAATAACGACCTTGGCCTACTCCAAGCACCACCCCCCTATGCTAGCACGTACCCGCGCCAGTATCAACTTAGCACATATTGTAGCCTTGCAATACCAACCTGAACTCATCAGTGCCAACCTGAATCCTGAAACCTATCGCATCAACACCAGCCTAGAGTTTATGCACCTAACGCCAACCTAGCTGTCACGTGCCATGGATTTTGCGGTTAGGGCTGGGTTAGCGTTAGAATAAATCCGGTTTCGTGATGCCCCGGCCACCGCCCAAGAAATACCGTTCGGATACATGTGTGTTATACTCTTTGCGTTGGAGTACAACAAGGAACTGGTGCACTGTCCAGTCAACTGGTGGACCCCATGGCCGAAAGGAGGGAGAGCCACCCTGAACGTAGAGTTGGACATACGTTTGTGAGCACATTTCCTCTGAATTGTCTCCCTGTCTAGGGTCTGGGTACATTGGCATGCGAGAAATAGACAAAGGTGGGTGCTCGCATATTTGCTTTGCGGAGACCACTCGTGACAGGGCCGAATCACTCAAAATGTCATTCCGATACGTGGACAACACGGGCATGGGCCATGCACAGGATGAACCATCAACTTTTACGGACCTTCGGGCACGTCTTCACCTCACCCGCCGCCCCGGCGCCCAAGGTCTCAACAGGTTGCCCGATTTTGTCTGAAATTCCGGTGGTATACCCACCGAAAGTCCACTAGTAATTTTCATGTGCCCACCGTTGTCTGTCTTGTGACACACTTTAGTTCGAAATGGACCCACTTTCGTCCGTTTTTTTCCATTCGAAAATCGACCTCCACGTCCCGCACGGGGGAGTTTTCGAATGAAAATATCGGACAAAGGTGGGTTACAAGACAGACAACGGTGGGTACATGAAAAATAGTAGACTTCTGTGCTTACCCACCGGAATTTCGGACAAAATCGGGCAAACTTGTTGAGGCCTTGTGCGCCGCGGCGGTGTGTGGGGTGAGGACGTGCCCGAAAGTCCGTAAAAGTGATGTTGATGCTGTGCATAGGGCTTGGCCGTGTTGTCCAGGCATCGGAATGGCATTTTGAGTGGTTTCAGCCCTGTCACGAGTGGTCTCCGCACAGCAAATATTCGAGTGCCCACATTTGTCCGAGAAAGAGGTGGGTATACCCACTTTTGTGTAATTCCCTGGGGTAATCTACCTGGTACTTCTGTTGTACAAATCAAACATGAGAGAGGGACGGATACCAGCGGGTTACAGCAATACGGTGTGTGGCAAAGAAGCTGTTAGTCTACGTGCACACAGCGCAGCCACTTCGTTGAGAAATCAGAAAACGTTTCCACCGGCATCGATATTTTGCACGGAAACCACCACCACCGAACAGTTTGGCTACACCAAACCATGATAGCATTGACCAAGTCGACTTGCGTCACCCCCGCGAGACGAATCACTAAACTCCTTGAACGGGAGCCTCAATGCTCGACGTCAATAACGCTCGACGTCAGCGATGCTTGGCATGAACGATTCTCGACTTCAACGATGCTCGACATTGAACTATCCTGAACGATGCACGACGATACTTGATGTCAACAATGATCGATGTGCAATGCTCGATGTCCTCAACGTCAGCGACATCCTCAACGTCAACGATATTTTGATGCCAACGATCCTCAACGATCCGCAAGATCAACGATCCTTAGATGCCAACGATCATCAACATGAACGATGCTCTTTGCCGAAGATCTTCAACGATCCTTCAATACCCTCGAAGATCCTCATCGATCCTCAAGATCAACGATTATTTGACGTCAACAATCCTCAACATCGACTATTCTCGTTGTCAACGATCCTCAACGATCCTCGGCATCAATGATCCTTGTATGCCAACGATCCTCAACGTCAACGATGCTCGTTGTCGACCATGGTCAACGATCCTCAATATCAACGGTACATTGACGCCAACGATCCTAACGATCCTCAACGATCCTCAAGTGATCCTCGGCATCAACGGTACTTTGATACCAACGATCCTCAACGATCATTAACATCAACGATCCTCGACGCCAACGATCCCCGACGTCAACGACCCTCATTGATGCTGAACGTCAACGATCCTCAACATCAATGATGCACGACATCAACAATCCTCAACGTTCCTCAACATTAGCTATGCTCGACATCAACGGTCCTCAACGGTCCTCAACATCAACGATGATCGGCGTCACGATCCTAGTTGATGCTTGGACGTCAACGATGCTCAACATCAACGATCCTCACCGATCCTCAACATCAGCTCGACGCCAACGATCCTCATCGATCCTCAACATCAACGATCCTCTACACGTCACCGATGCTCGGCGTCACCGATGCTCACTCGCAACGATGCTAGACGATCCTCGCCGACCCTCGACGCTAACGATGTCAGCGATGCTCAACAATTATCAACGATCCGCGATGTTCTCGATCCTCAACGATGCTCAACTCTCCTCGACGCCAACGATCCTCGGCGTCAATGATGCCCACTCTCAACGATGCTCAACGATCCTCGACGCCAACGATCCTCGGCGTCAATGATGCCCACTCTCAGCGATGCTCAACGATCCTCGACGTCAGCGATCCTCGCCCTCAACGATCCTCGACGATCCTCGACGCTAACAATGCTCCGCGTCAACAATGATCACGCTCAACGATGCTCAAAGATCCTCGACGCCAACGTTTGTTTGACGATACTCAACGATCCTCGATCTCAACGATGCTTAACAACGCTCAACGATCCTCACCTTAACGATTATCAACGCTAACGATCCTTCGCGTTAATGATCCTCGACACCAACGACGCTTGGCGCTCCTCGACGTCAATGATCCTCACCCTCAACGATCCTCACCGTCACCGACCCTCACCCTCAACTTATCCTCGACACCAACGATCCTCGGCGTCAAGTACTCACTCTCAACAACCCTCACCTCAACCATGCTCAGCATCAACGATCCTCGATGTCAACGATGCTTAACGATGTTCAACGATCCTCGACGCCAACGATGCTGTGCGTCGACGATCCTCACCCTCAGTCGATTCTCGACGTCAACGATGCCTCCTGGACGACCCTCGACGCTTAACAATGCTCAACGTCTGCTTATCGATGCTCAACGATGCCAACGATGCTCGGCGCCCACCATGCCCTCCGCCAACGATGCTCGCACTCAACGATACTTGATGCCAAAGATGCTGAATCCTAACGATGCTCGAAGCACGTCATCGATCCTTGATGCTAACGATCCTCAACAGTAATGATTCTTGACGTCAAAGGATGCTCGACATCGACGATCCTCGACATCAATGGTACTTCGATGCCAACGATCCTCAACATCAACGATATTTTGATGCCAGTGATCATCAACGATTCTCAACATCAACGATACTATGATGCCGACGTTCCTCAACGATCCTTAATATCAACGATCCTCGACGTCAACTTTTCTCAAGGATCCTTAACATGAACGATCCTCGACGTCAATTATTCTCAACGATCCTCGTCATCAACGATGCTCGACATGAATGACACTCAACGATACTTGATCTAAAGATCCCCAACGTCTGATGTCCTTATGTCTGCCTTGCCTCTGCCGGTTTTTCTCGCTCTTTGTTTATTTTCAACTCTCTCTCTCTTTTGAATTCTGGGGTTTGCCTACGAAGACTCTCTCCGCTCTGCCTGAAGGAAACGTCGGCGAGATCTGGGTGACGAGCAAGTCCAGGGCTGCCGGGTACTGGTCTCAGCCGGAGAAGACCGCCGAGGCCTTCGGGGGTCGTCTCGCCAACGATGGAGACGTAAGAGGGGCGATTGCCTCCAAATAGGTAGCGTTTTGGTCGATACCGAGGGTTGTTCATACTGTCACCCAAATGGTACCATACCATATCATGACTGGTGTCTGTCGGCGTCTTTTGTAATTGTAGACGAGAGTTGCAGGTTTTCGTTTGTTTCTTTTCTTGTGGATTCCTTCTTCAAAGGTGTGTTGTCTATTGTTTCCTTTCAATTCCAGCCCGTACATAAGGTGATGGTGGGCTGGTGCGCACTGCATCATGCCTTGGAAGCGGGGTGGTTGTTTACGCTTCTGTGATCGCACGCAGGAATGTTCGCAAGCACGAATCCAGCAATGTTTTTTTACCATCACATGGTTTACGAGGGAGTATTGTAGCTGGGAACGATGGAAACTCATACCCCCGCTCCACTCCTTGTGCGACGATGACTTCTCAACACTTGAAAGGGACCCGCGCCTGTAGCCGAAGGGACCGTTGGACACGGCGCCCCTGCCGACGGGTATCTCAAGACCGGCGACCTCGGCTTCCTGTGGGAGGGCGAGCTGTACATCTGCGGGCGTATCAAAGACCTGATCATCGTTCGGGGCCGCAACCATTACCCCCAGGACTTGGAGAGGACGGCCGAGGGGGCTGTGGCGGGGTCGGTGAGAGGAAGGGAGGAAGGGATTAGTGGGTCGGGCAGGAGTCAAGTCAGTCGAGCGCACGCCGGTGGCAAAGGGCTCGAGTGCATCTCATACAAGAAAACATCCACAGGGCTACGAAGCAGTGCGGACCCTTCCACTCCCGGAGTATTCGAAGGGCAGGCCCTTGCAACGGTCTTGAGTCTCGCGACGTGTTTGATGTGATGTCTGCGAAGCTACCGGCGGAGCACGCTGACATCAAGTTCCGCCAATCTGTATCGAGTTCTTGCCTCGATCATATATATGCAGAGCTTGTGTGTGTGCGCATGTAAACCACGCTAATTGTGCGCGATATGTATGAAAACTACCAATGAGCGTAAGATGTTAACCGACTGTACCCGTCTGTCTCCCCGTAGTCGCACTCGGGATGATGTACCCCCCTTCCCTTGACACACGCCTACTCCCTCAGCTCCGTGGAGGGTGCAGTGCGGCGTTCGGCCTCGCGGGCGCCGATGGGGGTGAGAGCTTGGCGATAGTGGCCGAGGTGCAACAGGCGGGGGCAGGGTTCGACGGCCAGGCTCTGGCGGCAGAGATTCGAAAGGTGGTGGCCGCCGAGCACGGGGCGTCGCTGGCGATGGTGCGGCTGCTACGACCGAGGTGGGTTCGGCTGGCGTTGAAGCGTACATATGGCACCTGGTACATGATACGCCGGAAAAGGTTGTCAACACCGTGCATTGTTGTCGGTGTGGTTGGCCACACAACAGTTTTTTTTTTTTTCCAATTGGTTGACGGAAGCTGCTGATCAAACCTTTCCTGTACGAACAACAAGTGTTTGTGTGTGCCGAAAAAAGCCTCCACCAGGTCCCGAAAAGTACACATGCCGTTGACAACCCCCGATTCAACCACAATCACAATCAGGACCATCCCCAAGACGACCTCTGGCAAGATTTCCCGGACCATGTGCAAGAAGGCCCACGTGTCCGGCGCCCTCGACGGCGACACGGTCTTCCTTTGGGGCGACGACCGGATGGCCAGCCACCTCTCCTCGGCGCCCGGCGCGGCCAAGGAGCAGGCGGCCGTCGCTGAGATGGACGCGCAGGCGGAGAGGGACGAGACTGGGGGCGGCGGCTCCAACGCTGCGAGCGCGGAGGAGTCCAAGTCGTCGGGCGGCGGGAAGGGGTGCCCGGCCGACATGACGATCGCCGACATCCTGAAGGGGGTGCAGTCCGAGGTCGCCAAGATTCTCAAGGCCGATGGTTCGGCCATTCCCATGGTGAGAGGCGAAAAGAGTGCGACTGCTGCGTGACGTTTTTATTGTTTTGTCTGGGATGTGGATGGCGGGCAGAGAGAGAAAAGTTGGGATCCATGACCGCAACATGTGCAGAAAGAGACGCTCCTTTATAACTGACAAGTGTTCCGAGAAAAGTTGGGGCGTCGGGAGGACACCGATTGATACATATATTCCATTTCCCCACCTTATGGTACGGATATGGTACGGTACGGACAGATGGATTGGTGGTGTGAGGGCTCTGTGATCCCATCTTCTCGTCGGTCCTCTCCTCCCTGACAGAGGACTTGCTTGCCCTCAGTAGCGGACCCCGCCCACGCTCGTTCGTTCGCATGGAAGGAGCCTCGGGAATCCGGGTGGCAAGAATACTTCGGGTGTTGTTTGAATGTTGAGCGGCAACCCCGTAGCTTCTGACTGCTGTACATCAACACCAATTCCTTCTCTCTCTCTCCCTCTCTCTCTCTCGTTTGGTGGGACCACACGCCAGGACGCGCCGCTGGCCACGCTTGGATTAGACAGCATGGAGGCCATGCAGCTCATGTCTCTGCTGGAAGAGAGATTCTCGGTCAGTTGCGGCGGATCTCCTCTTGCCTTGTTTCTCGAAACCCACAGCAGTGTTGATAACGTTGACGTATGAACTGAGGCCGATCTCGTGGAAATTTACTGTGTGTTGTGCGTGGAGATACTTGTGTCCTGCACCCGGTGGTGTGTGTCCACCTCCGCCAATGCTCCAACTTTGGACGTACGCTCGGGGACTACGGTATCGGTACCCAACTTATTGATGGAGTCTCCTATCCTACTTGAAATTCCAGTTCGTTTGCAGCTGTTTTGTCGAACGCTCTGTGATCCCTTGGTACTCATTTGCGTACGGCTGTCTATCTACTGCTCCCGCTGCAACCTGGTTTTGCGATTTGGGTTGTGTCTAACGTACTCAGGTGACAATCCCAGATGAGGTGATGTTCGAGCCGGACACGACGCTCATGACGCTGGCTCCCATCATCAAGGCCGGCGGAGTCGTCCCGGAAAGGTATGCAAAGACTTAACGGTGGGGACGGTGATGGTGATAGTCAGGGCTGGTGATTTGGACGGTGACGATGTGGTCATTCGGTATCTCATCTCGGGTCACGCATGATGTTTATTACCCATGCTATCCCCGAGACCTTTGTATCATTTCAAAAATTTCGTCTATAAAATACATAACTATGTTTTGTATCTAATGCTTTCTGTTTAGTTATTTCCTGTTTTTTTTGAAGAAAAGTTGCTTATGTGGAGGATGGTGAGTGGTCCCTTGTTGTCGAGCAAGACTGCCAAGGCTTGCGATCTTGCGATGCTCAACGCGAATTTTTCCAGGCACACAAACGCGTTTTTATCTTCTTTTTGTTTACCTCCCCGCATCTTCCCCTGCCGACCCCCCCCTCCGCTTCGTGCGCCACGCCAATGAGCAGAGCGAAGGCCATCGACTGCGGCTTGCTGGCTGCAATGGAGGCCAAGGAGGGCCCTCCCAAGGGTTACATGGCGGAGGAGACGGTGCAGAAGATGCAGGCCCGCCGGCTGACTGAGTGCTCCTTCAAGACCCAGCTGGGGACGGGCAAGTTCAAGGAGGGCTGTCTCTCGGAACAGGTGAGACAAACAGACGACTACTATAGAACGGCACAAGTGTGTTGTGTGCATTGTCTTACCGGTGACACTTGTTGACAATAGTGGAGAGGTGGGAAGTTCACGTAGGGCGGAGTGGGTTTGTTTGTCCACGCGAGACACAGGAATAGGATGGTGTGTGGCGGATGTCTGGTTGATTGTTGCGCCTACGACATAGCGAGGGACTTGAACAAACAGCCTCTGGAAGTTGAGATGGATCGTAGGAAAGGCAGGGAACAGGCCGCAGGGGGCGGGGGGGGCGGTACAGAGCAAAGCGTAGGGACAGTAGCTTGAGGCTCGAGCTTGAGGGTTTTCGACCCCGTACAATACACCGTTCGCTCAGCCATACCCAATGTGCTTTGCCACTTCGCATGGAGCATATCCCCATATTCACCCGAATATTATACCCCCCCCTCTTATCCTTCCCCGGCCTTGCCTCCGTCTCACTCGACAGGCGGAGATGAGCACAGCGGATGTGGTGCTGGTCAGGTCTTTCTTTTGCCTGTACGCGGCAGTGGACGTGTTGACGCCCCTTTTCCTGGCGGGGTTGTTTCTGCTGTCGCTGGCGCCGCTCGCCGCGCTGCTAGAGGAATCGCAGTCACAGGCAGCGGTTCCGGTGCTCTCCTCGGTGGCGAAGCGCTTGTTCGTCCTGTACGTCCTCTGTGTCAAGGGGACGGCCTTGGCGAAGAGCTGTGAGTCAAGGAGATGAGAGAGAGCACGTGTTTGTTTTCCATGTGGCGTACGTACCGTACGGTGTTTCTGCGAGATATTCGCGATCCAACTAACCGCGGTGCCCAAATTTTTGGCTTGTGTTATCAATCACCTTTCCTTCTCTTCCTTTTCGGTTTATCGTGTACACCAACTACTGTTTTTCTCTGTTGATTTTTTGGCGTATAGGAAAACCCGTTGAGATTGCGTTTAGTCTGGTCGTGGCTAGCGCTGGTTGTGAGTTTCTCCTCGGCCGAAAGCTTGTTTTTTCTCGCTTTATGTTAGACGCAACTCGATGTGTGCATCGCTTTCGCACATGAAACTGAACGAAAACAGACAAGATAAGAGTTCGCCCATTTCAAGTCACAGGGAATGAGCTCTCGCTAGACCCCCCCCCCGGGGGGGATGCGAGGTCAATGGTCTAACGACTACGGCATGCACGACTATGAGTACACCCCCCTCCCCCCGCTGCCACCCCATGTACGTCCGGGTTCACCCAACCACTGACAATCAGTTCGATCGCCAGACACCGCTGGCTGTCTCTCTCCAATTCTTCTATCTCTCCCCGCCAGATTGCAGCCGATTCCCGCCTGCCGGAAAGGCACTCGCGTCTCCGGGCGTGCGTGATGAAGTTACCTTGGGGTGCGCGTGGTGGTCGGAGGGCAAGCAAGAGCCCGGCGTGACTTACATCTACGCCGGCGTCGGCCCCGCGGAGCAGCTGCTGCTGTCCTCGGTGAGGCGGCTTTGTTTTGACACGTTATCGTTTCATATTGCATTGTCGGATATGCGTATGTTCATGTGAATTTGTCGAGAAGTCCTTCCTTGGCTTGTAATTTACTGTTGGTGCACATGTCTTGCCACCGTGATTAGACGTGTGTTTTGTTCAGGGCCTTGGATAGCTACCGAGACCGCCTTTGATCGGTGATAGGTGATGTCTTGCCACCGTGATTAGACGTGTGTTTTGTTCAGGGCCTTGGATAGCTACCGAGACCGCTTTTGATCGGTGATAGGTGCAAATCGACTCATCACTCATACAATATGATACCCCCTGGGGGGGGCAGCGTACACTTTTTCCGAAAGGGTTATTTTCCCCCCGGAAAAGGGGCGGGCATGAAGCAAATTAGGCCCCCCCTTTTTTTGGTTTTATTTTTTTAGATTTTTCGCCCATTTGGTTAGCAGGGGGGTGGTTGGGTTACCCACACAATCTTTTCTTTTTCACCTTTTTTTTTCCCCCCCCCCCCCCCCCCTGGTGTTTGCCATCGGGGTTGGGTTTTCGTCGCTTGGCAACGACGTTGTAAAACAAGCCGCCCCCCCCGGTGTTTGCCATCGGGGTTTGGGTTTTCGTCGCTTGGCAACGACGTTGTAAAACAAGTCCCCCACTCGGTGTTTGCCATCGGGATTGGGTTTTCGTCGCTTGGCAACGACGTTGTAAAACAAGCCAATTCACTTCGTGAACTCGGCAACCAGGTTACCGTTTTTTTTTTTTTACCTCGTTTTTTTTTTTGGCGGTAACCATAATGGTGGTCGAGAAGATCATGTTGTGCGGGGTCGAGAAACCTCACTCCGCGCAACGGGGGATGATCGCACCACGTTGTGTTAAAATGGTCAAGCTTCCTCGAGGCAGTTACACAGTGCTTACAACTGTCTCTGGAAGTGAAAGCACCAGAAAATAAATTAAGTCATACGTAGCTGCCATCCGTACGCAAGGAAGTAAACAAGATGCCGAACACCCTTAGCAGGATGCAGCTCACCCTTCATGCGACTCGCCAAATACTTCACGGCGCTTCGCGCTTGGTGATGTGAGAGCCTGGTCCGGTGAGAACCCGGCGTGCTCCGTCCCGGCTTTGTAGGGATGCGAGGTCAATGGTCAAACGACTACGGCATGCACGACTTATGAGTACACCCCCCCCCCCCCCCCCCCCCCCCCCCTTCCCC